GACAAATTCTACAAAATCTAGAAAAGTGACAACACAGGTTTAAATTAAAACCCCCTCATAAATTGAATTATTCTGGTGTTAGCTGGATTCCTGAAGATCTTTCCCCACAAAGCCAGGGAATAACAGAATAATACTATTTTTGTATTTCAGAGGGTTCATTCATTCATTATATTTTGCAACTTTATTGAGATATATTTCACATACCACAAAATTCACCTAAAGTATACAATTCATTTTTATTTTTCCCTCTTTATTTATTTAATATAATTTATTGTCAAATTGGCTTACATACAACACCCATGCTCATCCCAACAACTGCCCTCCTCAATGCCCATCACCCATTTTCCCCCTACCCCCCCCACCCATCCTTAGTTAGTTCTCTGTATTTAAGAGTCTCTTGTGGTTTGCCTCCCTCCCTCTCTGTTTATAACTATTTTTTCACCTTCTCTTCCCCCATGGTCTTCTGTTAAGTTTCTCAAGATCCACATATGAATGAAAACATTGATATCTGTCGTTCTCTGACTTATTTCACTTGGCATAATACCTTCCAGTTCCATCCATGTTGCTGCGACTGGCATGATTCATTCTTTTTCATTGCCAACTAGTATTCCATTGTATGTATAAACAACATCTTCTTTATCCATTCATCAGTTGATGGACATTTAGGCTCTTTCCATAACTTGGCTATTGTTGAAAGCACTGCTATAAACATTGGGGTACTTGTGCCTCTATGCATTAACACTCCTGTATCCTTAGGTAAATTCCTAGTAGTGCTATTGCTGGATCGTAGGGTAGTTCTATTTTTAATTTTTTGAGACACCTCCACACTGTTTTCCAGAGCGGCTGCACCAGTTTGCTTTCCCACCAGCAGTGCAAGAGGGTTTCCCTTTCTTCACATCCTCGCCAGCATCTGTAGTTTCCTGATTTGTTCATTTTAGCCACTCTGACCAGTGTGAGGTGGTATCTCATTGTGGTTTTGATTTGTATTTCCCTGATGACAAGTGATGAGCATCTTTTCATGTGTCAGTTGGCCATCTGGATGTATTCTTTGGAAAAGTGTCTATTCATGTCTTCTGCCCATTTCTTCACTGGATTATTTGGTTTTCAGGTGTTGAGTTTGGTAAGTTCTTTATAGATTTTGGATACTAACCCTTCATCCAATATGTCATTTGCAAATACCTTTTCCCATTCCGTCAGTTGCCTTTTAGTTTTGTTGATTGTTTCATTTGCAGTGCAGAAGCTTTTAATCTTGGTGAGGTCCCAATAGCTCATTTTTGCTTTTAGTTTCCTCGCTTTTGTAGATGTGTCAAGCAAGAAATTGCTGCAGCTGAGATCAAAGAGGTTGCTGCCTGCTTTTTCCTCTGGAGCTTTGATGGTTTCCCATCTCACCAATTCAACAGTTTTTAATAGAGTTGTGCAAACATCACCACAATCCATTTAGAACCACTTCATCACCCATGAAAAGTTTGTACCGCACCTAACAGTTGATGAGACATTTAGGTTGTTCCTACCTTTTATTCTTTGTTTGACTGTTTTTTATGATTTTTGTAAATTGAGATGAAATTCAAATACCATGCAATTCACCATTTCAAAGTACACAGTCCAGGGCCGCCTGGGTGGCTCAGTCAGTTGAGTCTTCAACTCTTGATTTCAGCTCAGGTCATGATCCTAGGGTCTGGGATTGAGTCCCCACATCAAGCTCCATGCTGAGCGGGAAGCCTGCTTAAGATTCTCTTTCTCCCTCTCTCTCCCTCCCTCTACCCCTCTCCTCTGCTTATGTTAATTTTAAAATAAAATTTTAAAAACTAAAAAATATATACATTCTAATGACTTTTAGTATATTCAAAGAGCTGTGCATCCATCACCACTAATTCCAGAAGATTTTCATCACCTCCAGAAAATTCTGTGACCACTAGAGTCATTCCTCATTTTCCCTTCCCTCAGTCACTGGCAACAACATGCCTATAATTTATTTCTATGGATTTGTTTATTCTGGACATGTCAGGTAAATGGAATTATACAATATGTGGGCTTTTGTAACTGCCTTTTTCCACTTAACATAATGTTTTCAAGGCTCATCCATGTTGTAGGATGTATTGGTATTTCATCTCTTTTTATGGCTGAAAATATTCCACTGTATGGATATACCACTTTATCCACTCATCAGTTGAGGAACATCTGGATTGTTTCCACTTTTTGACTCTTACCAATAATGCTGCTATGAACATTTGTGTACAGTCTTTTGTATGATGTATGTTTTCATCTCTCTTGGCAATATACCCAGGAAAATGGAATTTCTGGGTCATATTGTAACTCAATATTTAACATTTTAAAGAACTGCCAAAATCTTCTACAGTAGTTACACAATTTTGCACTCTCACCAGCAATTTATGAGGGCTCCAATTTTTCTGTATCTTCGCCAATACTTGTTATTGTCTGTCTTTTTTATTTTAGCCATCCTAGGGAAGTGTGAAGTGATATCACACAGTGGTTTTGATTTGCATCTCCCTGATGACTCATGATGTTGAGTATTTTCTTTTCATGTATCTATTCGTCACTTGCCTATCTTTGGAGAAATGCCTATTCAGATCCTTTGTTCATTTGTTTTAACTGGATTATGTGTCTTTTTGTTATTAAAGTGAGATGGGAGAACACTGGGGCAGAGGAGTGACATCTGCTTTACATTTTACAGGCTCACTCTGACTGTGGTGTTGAGACTAGTCTGAAGGAGAAATCAGGCAAAAGCAGGGGACCCAGCAGTCGGGAGACTAGTGCAATAAGCCAGGCAAGATATGATAGTGTCCTTGAACCACAGTCTAGCAGTGATGGTGTAAGAAATGCTTTGATTCTGAACACATTCTGAAGCTAGAAGTGACAAGATTTCCTGATGGACTGCATGTGGGATGTGCAATATGTTCTGAAACGCTTCCAAGCCTTTTGTTCTGAGACACTGAACCAGGGTGTCTATAGTTTGATTTTGGACATGCTGGGTTTGAGATGCCTGCTAGGCATCCGAGTGGAGAGACTGTGTTGGCAGTTGGTTATACAACTCTGGGGTTTACAGAAGTCTGGGCTGGAGATTAAAATGTGTGCCAGTTGCCTACAAAAGGTATTTAAAACCACGAGACAGCATGAGCTCACCAAGTCAGTGAGTACAGATACAGAGGATGGGTTTTTGTTGCATAAATGAAGTTTACTCCTTAATGTATTTTATACATATATAAATTAAACTTCCAAATTAAATTTGTGGGAAGTGTGTTAATCCTGTTGCTTCCCATGCCACTAATTAGCCCTCAAAAATATGTTTTATGTGACATCCTGCATATATCTCTGATGTGTCTTAGGGCCCCACCTTCAAAGAGCCTGTGTATTTGCCCCAGAACCTTCAATGTCCCCTTACTGTTAAGCTATAGAAAAAATAGGAGATAAATGTTGATAGAGAATATGGTGATAAAATGTGTTTCTTAATTGCGAGGGCATACTACTGAAGCAGAAACATAGATGCATTTATGCTTTAAATTATTAAGTAAAATAGTTATCCAGCTCAGGTTGAGTTGATGGTTTCAAGCTATTCCGAGGATTGAAAAAAAAATGAAGGCACAACTTTTGATATAATAATATCTAATAATTAATTTGAGTGTGTGACACATCTATAATTACCCAAATTTTGATAAAGAGATCACCTACAATAAAGATACTGTGCAGCCTCAAGATTAGGACCACTTTGCCTACATGGACAATATTGAACAGGGATAATTATTTCAAAATGATCATCTATTAATTTTGCACTATGCCTGATGACTACAGAGAAATTAAAAGGAATTGGAATTCATTCTCTACAAATTTACACGTTTTAAAAAATGTGGGTTGGGGCGCCTGGGTGGCGCAGTCGGTTAAGCGTCCGACTTCAGCCAGGTCACGATCTCGCGCTCCGTGAGTTCGAGCCCCGCGTCGGGCTCTGGGCTGATGGCTCAGAGCCTGGAGCCTGTTTCAGATTCTGTGTCTCCCTCTCTCTCTGCCCCTCCCCCGTTCATGCTCTGTCTCTCTCTATCCCAAAAATAAATAAACGTTGAAAAAAAAAAATGTGGGTTAAGTCTTGAAATTTAAATTCTTCACCAACTTTAATTCTTTTTTTTTTTTAACAGACATTTGTTTTCTACTTCTTTTTGCAAAAACTGATAACTTCAGTGGAAATTTTTAAGAGCCATTTTAGGAAGTACAAAGGAGAAGATAACTTTCCAATTACAATTACCGGACAAGACCTTTTTATTCACATTTAGCTAACAAAAAACAAATAGGAAAGTGTGCTGTTTTTTGTTGTTGTTTTTTTTTTTTAATCTCAAAACAGGAGATGCTGATAAATACCAGGTGCGTGATTTCTCCAGGCACCCATTCCCAGCCCCAGAGGAATCTCCATGCATCCAGTGTGCTTTCTAAATGAAAATGCATATGTACAAACCCTTGGACCAGAGAAGTTTCATTGGGAACTGTTTTTCTTTTTATCGGCATTTTATAGGTATGTTGGTATTATTAAATTTCTACTAAAACTTTAGCTTTACACTTAGTTGGGCAAAACAAAGAAATAACCAGCTCCGTTTGTCACCTAGCTGCCTAACCCCCACCCCCCCACCCGGTGAGAAAGACACCAGCTCTTCCCCAAACGTTCGGTGCAAAAGGATACATTACTCCTTAAGTAGTATTTTACATCAGTTCATTCTTTTTCTGTAGTGCACAAAAAAAAGACTCTTCAGGGTATGTACAGCGTGTTTTTAAAGTATCAAGTGCTCTCTCTTTTCCAATACAGCGAATTATTAAGCACGCCCCGACAGCCACGTCTCCCCACAGGATTGTGAGCCACAACACAGGTGTAATTAGGGCCTGGGTTCTTTCCAGTTTGTGCATATGCCTGGACGGCTACCTTCAACCGCAGTAAGTACAGGCTCAACACTAATCACATGCACGTTAAGGTTATCCAAACAAAAACACTGGGGAAATCAGTCTGCTAAAAATTAAACATTTTAATTTAATAACGTACATAAGTCTTTGTGAAATTATAAATAACAAGTTTTATTTAAAAAATAATCGTCCTCATCATACATATATAATGCAACCTAAAGCAGTCCTGGAGATTGTTCACATCATGTTTGGGGTTACACGTATCACTGCTCTATTCTGGTAGCATGGCCACTACAAAGCACCTTGTGATTGTAATAGCATAATGAGCTATTATGCACTGGGATTTTTGCAAATAAGGTATTTCATGAGGCAGAATGGGGGAAAAAAATTAAAACACACAAGTTACATCCATTTACAGAAATAACAATTTCTAGTTGTGAACTAACTACTATGCTTGGAAAATGCTAGCATCCATATAAAATTTGGTCAAATTATGGTGCAAAATCTGGATTTTTTGCAAACTTGTCATATTTTTGTGACATCTCCTAAGCACTTCCCTGAGAGTATAAGGAATGGTATTAACTTAATGAAACATTGTGGCCTCTAGAAGAGTCTTCATGAAGGGAATACCTCAGAGGTATAGATTTCTTGAGGACTGTAAGAAAAATCTGTGAGTCCACAAGTGGAGGAACAGGAACAACCATGAAAAGTACGACCAGCTGAGAACCCACCCAGAGGAAGGGATGAGGAATGAGAGGTTTGCCCCTAACCCATATATTACCCTTCTATAAACTGCTGGGATGCTTTTTCACTGTACTTGGAAACACTACCATTTTCTGTGAATGAGCCGTTGGGTTCCAAGGCATTCCCCTGCAGAACTGCAGCCGCCACAGGCGTGGTCACTACACATTGGGGGCACTGGTAAGGGCTCCAGATGAGGGGGAGATGAGCACAAGTCCTCCTTTCTTTCTGGGAAAGAGGTAGACCAGACTGCTTTCTTCTTCACACTGCACTGTATCAGCTATAATAAGAAAATGGACTGGGTAGAAGTAGAGAGATGGGTGATCTGGGAAAATGAGGAGCCCCAGGAGGTGGGGCAGGCTGGGAGGAAGGCCCCTTGTCAGGAGAGGAGGCCAACAAAACTCAGGGGAATGTACTTGGACCCCAAGGGCATTAGGGGATGGAAAGTGCTGCAAAACTTGAAGACCTTTGTTCTTAGGAAAAGAGGTGGAAACTTCCGCTTTCCTTTCTCCACCCTGTCCACACTACCCTGTTTCCAAGACCCAAAACTCAGGCAGGCACCTTGAGCATTGTAAGTCAACTACATCAGGGTTTAGCCTCCCTCAGAAGGCTTGGCCTGGGCACTCAATCACCAGCCTCCCACTTGCTGTGCGAAAGTGTTTCAAAGTCTGCCTGTAAACCAGTTGTTTGGAACATGATAAAGAACTTCCTCATAAGATTACTTACTTGTCAGCAATTCTTTATGTGTATTCTTAGTTTTAGAATGTAAGCAATGTGCTTTGAATCTCCAAAATATTTTCTATGGCATACAGGAAAAAAAAAAAATGAACTTTTTATAAGGAAAAAGAAATGCCCAACATGTGTGTCATCAAAAGGAAACTTCTGTATTGTACATTCATAGCAATACTTCCCACTGGCATCTATAATGACACTTAAGCACTAAAAATAAATGTTTGTTTTCTGACACAGAGCAAATTCAACAATCTATCACTTCAATAAACCATTCCATTATTAGGGAATGGCTACCAATATTCTCTATGTGTACTTTATATCATTCTGGAAGTACAATCAAGAGGCAATGCTTTATTTAAGGCTACATATTAAGGCTACCTTGGTTATCTGAAATATGAAATATGTATAAGCAACAAAGATACTTTTGTCAAAGGGAGTATAAATTAAACACTGATTCCGTTTTAGGAAAAGAAATGCTATTACAAGCCAACTAGACATTCAAAATGATATCTTAAAATGTATTGCTATTCCTGTATTGCTCAAACTACCCATTTCAGAACACCAAGAGATTCTTACTTTATTTTTTTTTTTATCTTTTAAGCAAGGCTACATCAGAAGAAAGACTTTTGAAATTAAACTTTCTTTTGTGTTAAAGAGAAATTTATTACAATAAAGTAAGTGCAAGTGTTATTAAAAACGCTGGCTAAAATTATAAAGTGTTTATATAATTTTTCTAATTATAAATATTGGAAATAACGTCAACAATTCTACATGTACAAAGAACTTTGAAAACAAAATCAGGTGATGGGTATTGAAGAGGGCATCTTTTGGGATGAGGACTGGGTTTTGTATGGAAACCAATTTGACAATAAATTTCATATGTTAAAAAAAAAAGAAAACATAAAATTATGCACAAGGCCACAATATAACTGCACATTATCCTTTTAGGTTTCAATTTTGTCTTCTCCTAGTCCCAGATCATTCCAGAATACGAAAAGATATGCTAATTCCTCAGATTCCAAACTTCAAAATTTTAGTGTTTTCAATGCGTGTCAGTTATCACACATTAATAATCCTTTAAAATCATTGTATTCTCATCAAGTGGTTCTAGTTCCCATATTTTTCTTTATAGATCTTGGACGAAAAGTTGAGCTACAAAAACTGACTACAGGATCTAGCGTGGCATGTACTCACAATGATTCACTTAAAAGTGGCAGAGGGGTTTTATACATATATATAAAAAGATCTACAAGGCATGAAAGACAGTTAGTAGCGTCTTTGGGCACCCTCTGTTTGCTTACTTGGCTCCTGTTCCTGTAGGAAGGAAAAGTCAGAGCCGTGAGGAAGTAAAGGCAAATCAGAACTGCTGGGAGTGTGTTGGTTTGGAGGGGGGGTGGAGGTGGAACGCAGTACAGAGAAGGAGCTGGGGAGAAGTGTGTGATTATAAAGGGAAGTTAGAAAGTATTACCTATCTGCTCTTGCCCCCCTGCTAAAGCAGGGACTGGCTACAGCCTGGCCTCCTTCGGTACAGCCCAGTTACTCTGTTACTTTGCAGTTATTCTGTTTCCCCAGCTCTGTGAAAAGAGCTATTGCCTTTCAGACAGTGAAGACATAACTGTTCCCTACTGAGAACAATTCCACAAATGTGAGGAACAATACAGGTTTGGACATTTCACAAATACCAGAGAGACTCTGAAGTAGGCCTCAACATGAAGGCAGGTGAAACAATTTTTACAAACGAGCAGCTAATACCCAGAGAGGTTAAGATGTTCGGCCAAAGGGAAGACAAGGACACTAGAGGTGATACTTATTCCCCTATGACAGCACTTGTCAAACTTTAATGTGCATGTAATTCACCTGGGAGCTCATCTAAAATGCACTGGATCTGTGGTGGGGGGTGGGGGGGGAGGAACCTCTGATTCTGTATGAACTGGCTCCTAAGAGATGCCAGGTGCTCTATGGACCACACTTCGAGAGGCAAGGGTCTACAACACAAAGAGGGAGCCGCTCTGTCTCTCTGCGCCACAAGTATATCTTGGAAGTCCTGAGTAGAACAGACTTGCTCCAGTGCTGTCTGCTTACCCACACTCATCCCCAGGCAAAATATGTAAATGCATCACACAAGTGAATGGCTGTGTACAAGACTGTGTTAATATATCTTCTGAGAGCACCATGACTATATGAAGAGCCAAACAAATAAAAGAATTCAACTTGAGTACATGGAGAGGTCTATTAGCTGGAAACAAAACTGAGCTTTCTCTCCTGTAGTCCTTCTTACAGTGAACATGATATAAAGGTATAAAAAAATAGCATAGGAAATTTCATAGTAAAAGGCCACATGTGCACACAAATACACATAGCATGACTTCTAAGAAATAAAATGCAATTTATCAGAATAAAGTGCTACCACTGCTCCCAGCTAAAATCATCTCCTCTTCCAAACACAAGGAAAAAACCTTGAATTGTCAGGAAAATGACTGCATTGCCTGCCAGCACAAGGCCACAGGCTCCCCATTTGATCTGAAACACAAGGAAAGAGGATTAAATCTTTACTTTCTTCATATCATACTCTTTGAAAATCTGTTATTTTCTGCATTAGAATCATCCAATGAAATATTACATAAAACTGCTAAAAGGCTTAATAACCTAACAGGCAGGAGACAGTGAACTATTCAGTAATTAGCCTAATTACTTCGTGATGCTTGATAATTAAGTCTGTACCATCCTTATCATTTTCCCCATTAGACATATTTCTCAACATGTTTTCAGTAGACAATGATTGCCTTAAGTAAAATAAAAGCACCCAGAATATAAAGGGTCTAATTATAATACCGGGTACTAAAAGATCTATACCCATTGCCTCCTTTCAGGAAAACAGGAGTTGCAGAGAATTATGGATTGGTCTGTTTCTTTTCTAGGCAAGAACAGACTTTAAATAATAATCTGCATACAAATGAAAACAGCTTCCCAGCGTGGCAGATGGTTCTACAGAGGCGCAGTAGGGGATGAGAGTACCCTCTAGTGGGCATTTTGTTTTAATTTAAGCAATAGAAAGAAAACATCAATGAAAGTTTCTTCATAAAACAGAAATCCTTACAGCCAAACTTAAATATTAGTCTACAGCACAAGGAGAGTAAGGTCTTGAAGATTTTGCATTCAAAAAGCTCCAATGCTTCTCATCTAAATAGAGTTCAAACTGGCATAGCATTCAAGAGCCTGCGCAAGTGGGCTTCCCCAACCTTTCTAGCCTCCTTCTCAATCACGTCCTTTTGACTCTGCCATATTGAACTGCTATTTATTCCACATATTGCATTTTCACACTTGGGTGCCATTCCATAGAACAGCATTCCCTACTTGAATCAAAACCTTATTTAGCCTTTGAGGCCTACATCAAATGCCAGTTGGAATTTCTCTCTTCCTGGTGCTCCTATGGTGGTGTGATCATGTTTCAATTATCACACATAATACATTCATAGTGTACTTACCCATCAGGCTAGTTTCTGTGCCTCTGGGACACAGACAATGTCTGGCTCTTATTCCTGGTATCTTACAAATAGCAGATGTCCCCAAGATCCAATGCCCCAAATAAGAGTTTCATGAAATTGAAACAGTATGTAGTTAGGGGGAATAAAAGCAAGTAGCATGAAAAGCAGTGAACGTTAAAAAAGAAAGAAGTGAATAAATTATACCCACAATGTGTGTTTTGGAGACAAAAAGAAAACAATTATACTGGATATGAAGATGGCATCTTATTCACTGTATCTTCTTATAACCATGTAGGTGTCCCTTAAAATATGCCTATAGTAATGAGTTGGAAACTGTGTTCACGATCCTACATGCAGAAGAATTTGATGTGATGTTCATTTTGGAACCAGAAAAGCATTGCTATTACATTCTCTGTGGATCGCCCTAAGAGGCAAGGATTTGATAAGCACAATTCCAGAAAACAGTTTAAAGAGCGAGAAATCACATGCCCCGGCTAAAAGTTGTGAGAGAGACAAAGAAAGCATTCTAAAAACATAGCCAAGGCACTGATAGGGAGATCTAAAATGGAAAAGAGAAACTACAAACACATCTGGATTTGAGAATTAAGCCTAAGCAATGGCAGTGAAACTGATGTTCTGAAGTAAACTCAGCAACAACCGAGCAAAACAATAGAAAACAAAACTTACCACAGACACACGGGCAAGAATAACAGGAAATCCAAAGGCAGAAACAACAATTCCAGTAGTGAAAAAATATGCCAGCTCCCGACAGGCACTACTTGTGGCATCAGAGTCATACGTTGCTCTTTTGGCAATGAAATGGGGGATGGGAGAGATGGCGTGAAATATCAGGACAAACAAGGGCCAGTAAACGCTGTCGGATGGACCCAGAAGAAACCCAAAAAGAAAAGTTACGGTTACATTGTAAAGACATGCTGCCATTTCAAAGTTAGAATTATCTTCAGCGTCTAGGACAAACAATTATTAATTTAATGGTCAATGCTCATACATGAGATGATTTATACCAGGAACAGGTAAGGTGCAATGATTAAAAATTACGAGTCCAGGGATGCCTGGGTGGCTCAGTCAGTTAAGCATCCGACTCGCGGTTTCGGCTCAGGTCATGGTCTCACAGTTTCGTGGGTTCAGGCCCCTACATCAGGCTCTGTGCTGGTAGCGTGAAGCCTGCTTGGAATTCTCTCCCTCTCTCCCTCTCTCCCTGCCCCTCCCCTGCCCGTGCTGTGTCTGTTTTTCTCAAAATAAATAAATTTTTAAAAAATTTTTAAAAATTACTAGTCCATTAGTATGTCGATACCTTACCCTGTGTTAAAAAAAAAAAACTACACAATGTGTAATCAAGAATCTTTATTGTTTTCTGTTATTCCTGAGCTGTCATTTCTTGAAGGCAGAATCTTCACTCAGTCACCTTTGCTTTCCCTATAGAACGCAAGACAGTGCACCCACTTTGCACCCACTAACGCAACAGAGATCTTCTGAGTGTATACACGTTGGAAACCCTTCAATGGCTTAGTAAAACCCAGATTCCTTTCCCTGGCCTACAAAGCCTTCCATGATCTGGCCAACTTCTCCCATTTGCATTGTGCCATCTTCTCTTTATACACTCAGTCAGTAGCCACACCAGCCTTTTTTCTGTTCCTGAAACACTCTGAGCTCATCCCCATCTTAGGGCCTCTGCACTAGCAAAACCCTCTGCCTGGAATGCTCTCCTCCCTGTCTTCTCATTGGCTGGCTCCTTCTTGTGCAATCTAAGCTGAGAGGCCTCCTAAAAGTGGCTGTCCCTGATCATTCAATTTTATTTATTTTTTATTGGAGTATAGTTGATGCTTTAGTTTTTGGGGTACAACACAGTGATGCCGACAACTCTATGCAATATGCAATATTCACAAGTGTAGCTGCCATCTGTCCCCATACATTGCTATTATGATACCACTGACTATATCCCCTATGCTGTGCCTTTTATCCCTGTGACTTAGTCATTCCATGACTGCAAGCCTGCATCTCCCACTGCCCTCACATTCTGCCCAACCCCAATTTGTTCTCTTCAATAAATGGTAGTAGGAAAACTGAATAGCTACATGCAAAAGAACAAAAGCTGGACCACTTTCTTACAACGTACACAAAAATAAACTCAAAATGGATTAAAGACCTAAATGTGAGACCTGAAATCATAAAACTCCTAGAAGAAAACACAGGCAGTAATCTCTTTAACATCAGCCTTAGAAACATTTTCCTAGATATGTCTCCTCAGGCAAGGGAAACAAAAGCAAAATCAAACTACTGGGAATACATTAAAATAAAAAGCTTTTGCAAAGTGAAGGAAACCATCAATAAAATGAAAAGGCAACCTACTGAATGGGAGAAGAGATTTACAAATGATACATCCAAAAAGGGGCTAATATCCAAAATATAGAAAGAACTTTCACAACTCAACACCAAAAAACACCTACATAATCCAATTAAGAAAGGGCAGAGGACCTGAATAGAATTTTTCCAAAGAAGATATACAGATGACCAACAGACACATGAAAAGATGCTCAACGTCACTCATCATCAGGGAAATGCAAATCAAAACTACAGTGAGATATCACCTCACACCTGTCAGAATGGCTAGTATCAAAAAGACAACATGGGGGCGAGGAGCCTGGATGGCTCAGTCGTTTGGGTGTCCGACTTCAGCTCAGGTCATGATCTCACGGTTCGTGGGTTCAAGCCCCACATCGGGCTCTGTGCTGGTATCTCAGAGCCTGGAGCCTGCTTTGGATTCTGTGTCTCCTTCTCTCTCTGCCCCTCCTCCACTTACTCTCTCTCTCTCAAAAATAAATAAACATTAAAAAAAATTAAAAAAAAAAAAGACAACATGGGGGCACCTGGGTGGCTCTGTCAGTTAAGCATCTAACTTTTGACTTCGGCTCAAGTCACGATATCACAGTTCATGAGTTTGAGCCCCATGCTGGGCTCTACACTGACAGTGCAGAGCATGCTTGGGATTCTCTCTCTCCCTCCCTCTGCCCCTCCCCTGCTCATTCTTTTCCTCTCTCTCTCTCTCAAAAATAAATAAATAAACTTAAAAAAAAAAAAAAAGACAAGATATAACAAGTGTTGGCAAGGATGTAGAGAAAAAGGAACCTTTATTCACTGTTGGTGGGAACGTAAATTGGTGCAACCACTGTGGAAAATAGTATGGAGGTTCCTCACAAAATGAGAGTTACCATATGATCCAGGAATTCCTCTACTGCATATTTACCCAAAGAAAACAAAAAAGCACTATTTCAAAAAAGATATATGCACATCTATGTTCACTACAGCATTATTTACAATAGCCAAAATATGGAAGTAACCCAAGAGTCCATCAACAGATGAATGGATAAGGAAGATATACATGGAATACAGAATATTACTCAGTCATAAAAAAGAACAAGATCTTGAGACAACATGGATGGACATAGAGGATATTATGTTAAGTGAAATAAGACTGACCATCCATTTTAAATACTTCAAGTTACCCTTGAGCACATCACCCTCTTGACTTTTTGCCAGCATTTATCCCTATTTGATATTTCCTTGCTTATGAGAACAAGAATCTAATTTGTCTCAATCAATCCCCATTTATCCCCAGGGCCGAGATGAGGTATTCCATTACCATTTACTGAATGAACAAAATGAATTTTAAGTATGGAAATCATAAAACTAAATATGCTTACCAGTACAAACTTTAGATATACTCTAATCTTTATTGTAAGACATAATAATACCATAATGCAAAAAAGTTTTCTTCCCAAATTTTAATGTTTTGTATTTATTAAAAATTGTCATCTGCTTTTCAATTACATTTGCTCTATAAATACTTCAAAAATATTTTTTTCCATCAGTCAGATGTTTATTATGCTTCATTCCTTGAGAGAAAAAAAAAAAAAGGAAAGTCTCTATTCACTTTAAAATATCCACATCACAGTAATACACGGAGGGCCACCCCGACAGTCAGCACCTCGAAGCAGAAGTTGTGACAAAGCTAGACTGTAATGAAAGCTTATTTCAGCCACAGATCTAGGAGTACGGGACGGCAACCAAACAGCAAGAAGGGGAAATGCCCTTCATCAAGAGGACTCAAGATGTACACACTGAATTCTAACTCCTAATTCTAAACTATAGGGATTATAGTGGGTTTCAAGGATCACCAAATAATATTGTTGAAGGGGCTGTTAGAGATTATCTAGTTCAAAGCCTTTATTTTACCAGTGAGGAAACACAGATACAGAGACAAGAAGAGGTCTGGAAGAGACCCAGCTATGACCTGACATGCCCACAGCCAGGAGCTCTTAATTATTAACTTCCTAGAATATAGTGAGAGTTTTCTGTACAACAATCTAAGGCACTGTGTTCCCATTCATAGTAAGCGATCAATATTCAACTATGAGAACTATTAATGCAGAAGCAACCTTGTTTACATACAAAATTTGGGTATTAAATATACACTATTCAGAAAACGTGTAGGCCAGAGATTGGCAAACTTTTTCTGCAAAGGCCAAATAGTAAATATTTTAGACTTTGCAAGTCACGGGGTCTCTGCCTCAACTACACAACTCTGCCCCTGTGGTGCAGAAGTGGCCAGAGATGGTACATAAATGAGTGTGGCTGTATTCTGATAAAACATTTAATTTCAAAAACAGGCATCAGGCCATGTTTGGCCTGTGGGCCAGTTTGCTGACTCCTGATGTACAGGATAATCCTGGGTCACCATCATTAAATATAAAATTAATTTCTTTGTAGTACCAGTATATGGCTCATTTTTTTAAAAACCTTATAGAGATCTTAGAGAATTAGAACACCTGGATTTAGAGTTGGTTGTAGAATCATGGTCAAGAGAGTGAGAACATGAGTCCAATCTCTGCCACTTAATGCTGTGCGACTTGGGTTAAGTCTTTGACCACGCTGGGCTTTTGTTTCCCAGCTAGAAATGAGGATAATACCTTATATCCTTAAAAACCAGACTCTGGTAACAACTGCAAACACTCTGGACAAACAGAAGTTATTGCTTACAACCGGCTCCCTCTTGTGTTTAGACAATCTCTGGCCAGGACTAGGGTGAGAGATCTGAACTCATCAAATGTCCCAACAACTAGCTCCAGCTGGTTTAAGTTAGTCCCAGCATCTCCTGTGCAGTTAGATGCTCAACCAATCACCTGGGAGGCATCCCAGAACCCTCTCCCCCTGCTGAACCCTGACATCAGTTAACAAAACCTGTTAGTTCTGCCACCTAGATCTCTCTCTTTCCTTTCATTTCATTCCTACTGCCACAGCCCGACATTTTGCTTGCTTTATGACAGTAGTGCCCTACTGCGTGTCCTGAGGGCAGTCTCAGCACCTTGTTATCCACTCTTACATTTTGGCCAGACTGACTTTTTTCAAACAGAAACCCCCTAACCCTCCAAACCTATTCTCAAGATATTTTTCCAGCTCCTATGGCTTGAAGTGTAAAATCTGACCTCTTTTACATGGCATACAGTGCCCTAAAGACTGATTGACTCTACATCCTTGACCAACCCTTCTATTGCTCATCCCAGCTACACTCTATGCTCTACCATAATGAACCACATGTGGTTTCCTGGAGAGTCTCTATGCCTTAATGTCTGTGGGCCTGAGCATATGACTTTCCTACTGCCTGAAGTCCTCCTTCCCCAGTTTCCAGCATGGCCTGCTTCCTTATTTTCTTTGTATTTCTGCTCACAAGTCACCCTCTCAGGGAGGCCTTCCCTGACCACCCTCTCCCCAGTCTCTGAGCCCTTTATCATTTATTCTTCATAACATTTCTACCTCTGATAGAATGGACATTTTTAAATCTGTTTAGTGTCCATCTCCCCATTGCAACACAGACTCTAAGAGAGTAGGACCTTTGTTCTTATTTCTTAATCTCCAGTTCCCATAACAGTGGCTGGCATGTGGTAAGCACTCAACCAAGAGTTGTTGAATAAACACATTTTGGTGAATGTTCCCACTGCCTGGAATGCCCTCCCCTAACTCATCAGCCCCACAAACTCTTATTTAGACACCAAGTCTCAGCTTAAAGACAACCGTTTCTCTGCAGCCCTGCCTGACTCTCCCAGAGAAACTCAGATACACCTTCTCAAAGCTCTCCGTGTACTGTGCACATGTCTCCACTACAGCTGTCATCTTCTGGACTAGACCGACGCCTGTCTGCCTCTCAGGCACAACTCAAATTGCAAGCTCCTTGAGGACAGGACTGTATCTCTTCCTTTTTATATCCCCAGCGGGTCCAGAGTAGGTGTTCAAGAAATGCTTACTAAATGAATACATCAAGTCTAAAAAGAGCTTTTCTCTGCACAAATATAACTGACCCACGAATGGACCTGGACTTCACTAACTCATTGGTTAGAGCCCAGCGCTAAATTCACTAAACTTGCTAACACTCACAGGAACAGTGACAAACGCACAAACACAAGAATAGTTCTTTTTGAAATGAACACTTACCCATAATCTTCTAAGGCACATCCCAGCATAAGAAAAGTCAGCCCAATAGCCCCACTGAAGGATAATGCCACAAGAGCTGTGAAAAATAAAACCAAGAGTTAAAAGGTCCCAATCAGTGGTTGCCAGGGACCTGAGGGAAGAGGGGAGGAATGGGAGTGCCTACTAATGGGTATGGAGTTTCTTCTGGGGCATGGGGCCCCCCCCCGGGGGGGGGGTTGTTGTGTGTGAAATGTTCTGGAATTAAATGGTAGCGACGGTTGCACAAACTTGTGAATAAACTAAAAACCATAGAATGTTCCACTTTTAAAAGGTTAATTTTATGGTATGTGAGTTATATCTTAAACAAAAACATTCACTTAAAGAAGTAAAAGGTTCCCAATTTACGCAAATGTAGTGATTTATTTCATTAGTTGACATCACATTTGACTAGCAAATGACTGCCTGTGTCCACCACTTTAAAATCACTAGGTGAGAAAGGTCTCAAGCATTTTCCAACCCCTATCTAATATATAAATTCCCTCTATTTGTCACAAGAGGCCAACCAGCTTGTCTGCACAACTCCAGTGAAGAGAACTCACTACTGCCTGAGGCATATCATTTCCTTCTGATAGTATCTAAATGCTGAAAATCCTTTCTTCAAATTATATCCAAAACTGCCTCACTGTAATATATATATGCCCTTTGATCATTCTGTCTCTCCCAACCCCAGTACTTCAAGTATTTGAAGACTACTTTCATGTTTTCATAGAAAATGACTCCCAAGTAGTATCCACCAAATAAAATATTTATTCCCTGCATCTGTTCAACATTAATCACTGAGGGGGTAGGAACGTTATTTGTCCTTGTCATGCTGCTGAGTGGGAGACAGAGTATCAAGGCTGTTAAAAAAAAAAAATCCTGAGCTCTGAGTCACCAACAGGGTTCAAATCTCAACACTGCCACCAACTGGCTGTGTGACCTTGGAGAGAAACTGAACCTCTTTCAATCAAATTTCTCACCTATAAAATGGGAATAATGGTGCCACCTTATCATGCAGCTTATGAGAAGTAAAGGAGATAATCCATGTGAAGTGTTTGGCAAAAGAAGGTGTTCCATAAATAAATGCTGACTGATGAAGGCACTTGCTCATTTTAGCAATATTCTTTGCTAAAGGTATAAATTCAAAGCATCAGACACAATTTAGCCAAATTTTCTTCTGAAAAAAATCCCTAATACTCACAATTAGTCATTCACTAAATTAATTAACATTTTGATTGCTTCCTTTTACTTTAAGAGATTTAGGGAGACTGTTTTATAGGAAGATGCGAAGGTGCTTTTTAAAAACATCTGGAAGTAATACAGACGTTAGGGCACAAGACTGCCAATTTTACTTTTTGTACTCTTCCATGTCGTACATGTCACTTTTTAAAGAAAAATGTACAAAAGGAACTTTTCGCATATTGTTTCATTACAGACGGTCTTTTCTTGGTTGGCACTATCCCTTCCCTGAGCCTGACCTTTTGTATCACTCCCTTCTTCAAAGCTAGGAACCAGAGACCTCTTCTTTCCGGTCTGTGACACCCATCTCTCAACGTTCACAAATGTATCTCCAGTTGATTGATTCTTTTTTCTTTTTGGGGGGAATCAACATCCTCTGCCATATTTTAAAGTTGGAGCTAACAAGGAATCCAACCTCATTTCTTTAGACTGTCCTTCTGCTGAGACATTGTGTTTGACCCAAAGTTCCCTAGTATCACGAGGGCCCAGCCACATCTGATGCTGCAGCCCAGAACAGGTCCTGGGACCTAGGCCTGCACCTCCAACTCCAATCTGGACTTCTCTGCCCAGGTAGCCAACAAGGACCTCAAAGTCGACATGTATAAAACCCAAACATCCCACCCTCTCCTTCCAAACACATTCTTCCTTTTAAGTTCTATCCTGAAAGACCAACCAACACTATCATCACCTTCTGTCTTACAGAAGATCACCAAGTTAAGGTGACTCAACCTCCCAGGTGTCACTCAAAACCACCTCTATACACTGAATGAGCGTGTTCCCTCCCCAAATTCATGTTAAATCCTCCTGCCAATGTGATGGTACTTAAAGCTTTTGGGAGGTGATTAGGTCATGAAGGTGGGACCCTCATGGATGGGATTAGTGCCTTCATAAATGATACTCCAGAGCTCCCTTGCCCTGTCTGCCATGTGAGGACACAGTGAGATGTCTATGAACCAGGAAGCAGACATTCACCAGACCCTGCATCTGTTGGCACCTTGATCTTGGACTTCTCAGTCTCCAGAATTGAGAAACAAATGTTTGCTCTGTAAGCCATCCAGTTTCTGGTATTTTTGTTAGAGCGGCCCTAAAGGACTAAGATACCCACCCTCTTCTCTTGAACCCTCTACTACTGCCCTGGTGCATGCCCTCACCATCTCATGCCTGCCTCCAACCTTGATTCTTCCAACCCATCTTCCACACAGCAGACAGCGATCTCTCAAATACACAACGCTGGTGTCACCCCTTCACAGCCACTTTCACAGCCTATGAGTTGATCCGGCACAATTCTCCCCACTTGGAAAAACTGTCCTTGCTCCCTCCTTAGCCAGGTGACACCTTACTGATTTTTTTAGATTTAGATTTAGATTTAGATTTTAGATTTAGATGATTAGATTTAGATTTAGATTTAGATTTAGATTTAGATTTAGATTCAATTCAAGAACTGCCTTTTTCTCCCCAGAGCAGGGTTAAGTTATCCCATCTGTGTTAGTTTCCTGGGGCTGCCATTAACAACGTACTACAAACTGGACCATTAGAACCACAGAAGTTTATTTTCTCACACTTCTGGGGGCTTGACGTCTCTAATCAAGGTACTGGCAGGACCATGCTTCCTCTGAAGGCTCTAAGGAAGAATCTTTCCTTGCTTTTTCCTAACTCGTGGTGGTTGCTGGCAATCTTTGACCTTTCCTGGCTTCTAGCTGCATCAGTCCAATTTTTGCCTCTGTCTCCACACAGTGTTCTCCCTGTGATTCCATGTGTAAATTCTGACACCCCCCCCCCCTTTTTATAAAGACCCTAGTCATTGGATTAGGGCACACTCTAATCCAGTATCATCATCAAGTTAATGATAACATCTGCCAAGACTCTATTCCCAAATAAGGTCACATTCACAGATACTGGAGAGTTAGAACCTTGAACATACCTTTTGAGGGATACAATTTAATCCATAACACCATCTTTGTGCTCCTCCTGTTATCTAAGGACACCTTGGACACTTCAACAGTAATATAATCATTTCCAGTTTTGTCACCCAAAAATAACTTTTATCTTTTTATCCCAAGTCACAGGCATACAATGGTCCCTCAATCTGTAAGATAGTTCACCCCTTAGTGAACTATCTGTAGCTTCCTTCCCTTAGTCCTTTTCCATTTCATGGTCTTCCTTTTCACTACATCACAATTTCTAACACATTCACACATAAACAGTATCATTACTTGATAGTTTCTGGGCATGACTAAGCACAGCGCAGTCCAGTACTGGGATACTATCGGTCACCCCTTTTCTGCATTGTCTTCAAATGGACACGTTACACACTGGACACTGTCCAAGTAAATCACATTTACTAAACTGATGGTAAATATAAAAGTCAGCCAGAAATAATGATACAATGTGTCTGCTAATAGCTCACATACTCAGATAAATTTCAGAGTGCACACACATGCATGCAAATATATCGTATACATGTTTATAACAGATGTTGATTAAGTAGGAAGATCTTTGGTTACCAATTCCAAAGATGGAAGTTAACTCCAACATAGAAACAAGTTACACTACTCTATTCAAACATCAGAAATCGAATGGTTTCCTACCAAAATAACAGGAAGCGTTCCAATAGCCTCTCCTACCGCTGCCATCCCCCACTTCTCTAAAGTCATACAGATAAGGGAAGCGGCGTTCTTGGTACCTCCTTTTTCAACTGCCCCTGTAGTTGTACAAACACTGCTTTCTTGTCTGTCCATAGATGAATAAACACTAAAGAAAGCAGCGATAACATTCCACCCAATCTATTCTCCACAATTATGAGAAATACAGCATTTCCGTGGGCTTTCTGTTGCCTGCAGTCAACTCTGCCCAACTAGGAAAACTCATCAGTACCGAAAGAATTAAGAACCCCGGGGCCGAGAAGACTGGAGACAATGGCTGCTCTAGAAGAAACTGGAAACTGCGGAGCGGCAGGAAGAGGGAGGAGAAGCGTCAGGGTGGACATGTCGGGAAATGGAAACCCAGTCCGTTTAAAACTGAGCAGAGATGGGGGCGGGGGTACGCTCCGAAGTACTGAGGAGCCTAGAGGTGATGCTCCTGGTCTACCCTGGTCTCCAAGAAGGGCACCGCTCCTGGCTCGCCTGGAAGGTCCCGGAGAGATCGGCAGGAGCGTGCAGACCAGTGAGGTTCCACCCGCATCCCGCGGGGCGAAGGAAGAGGGTGAGCGCCTCCTCCGCCCCCGGAGAGAAGGGGAGAGCGGCAGGCTTGGGGGAGGCCGTTCCCCGCCCACACGCTGAGAGCGCAGCTCCAGGCTTAGCCCGGGACGGCGGCGACACCCCACCGCAGGACCAGCTACCTTTAACGCCCGCCATGTCTCCCGAGCTGGGGCCGCGGCTGCTTCCGGCTTCCTGCCACTGCCCGCCGGCCGCCCAGACCCGGCCCGGGGTCGCACCACGGGCCCCGGGCCCGCCCCTCCACGCAGAACCCCGCCCCTCCACGCAGAACCCCGCCC